ACACACACACACACACAATAACCACCTGCACTCCATCCATCTGGAGCGTCTTCATTCCCTCCAGTGACACTAGAAGATGGCTGCCTTTGTATCCGTGCTTCAAGATAAACACAATGACAACTGTGTGCACACAATCATGTCTGCTTAGTGATGCAGAAACTTTCTTAGCTGAGTCAACTGTAAAGTGGTCTCTCCTCTGTCCTTTGACTCTTTCTTTAATTTCCCGTTTACTTTTCCTCAGTTTTTTCTTTTCTTTTAACCAGTTCGTCATAGCTCATGCTTTTTTCCCCATTTCCCACTCCTCCTTTCATCTTTTCCGTCATTTCCATTTTCCACCGGTGAGGAAAAAACCTAAACACACATTAGTTAAGGTTACCGTTCAGACCTACCTCCACATTTCCACAGAGAGAGGAGGGAGATGGGGAGCTGTGAGGGAGATGGAGGCAAAGAGAGAGTTGGGTATGATGCTTTCATCAGTGTACCATCAGAGTTTGAAATAAATGAAACAGCATTTTTTTTCCCTGAGCAGAGCTATAGATATATTAGAAGAAAATAAAAGCTCCTCACCCTCTGTTAATACATTTCTAAATGATGATTCAGCTGTACAGTGGATATATTACCGGGGCTAAAGGAGAATATGTACGTGTTTGTGTGCATAAACTGAGCTAGTAGTAGTTTAACATATTTATGTTTATCTGGATAGAAGCTGGACCTGTTTGGGAGGATGGTGTATGTTTTTATCAAGCTTCTGTGGAAAGCATAACAACATGCAGCTTGTGCATCTCATTGTGAATGTTTCATGCTGTGTGGAGTGTTTCAGCGACATTAATAAAATAATGGAAACAGTCTGGTTGTGGGCTATTTCATGGCTGAATGAGGGAATGGCAGGGGTGGAAGTGTGGAGAATCTCTGCATAATTAACTATGAATTCAGCTTCCTTTCTTATCTCAGCTGGACTTTACTCCAAGCCAGTGTGTCCTGTGCATTTAAAACCACAGTACACACATTGACTATACTGTCTTTGCTTCATTCTATTCGTACTCTGATCTAAAAATGATGAAATGAGTCCTTCCTTAAATGCCCTTATTGTGAAAGTCTTGAGTAAAACAAAATCTCACTGGTACAAAAGATAGACAGACACACACACCATCTGAAAATGAAAACGGATAAAGAGCTGCTGTTAGTAGCCAAGCCTAACAGAGTTCTAACTAATTCCGCACAATTTTGTTTGCGTTATGGTAAATGGGAAACGAAGTGGCTCAGAGAATGACTGACCCCACCTTTAAACCCTAAATAGTGTCCACTGTACGACACATTAACCGCTCTGATTTATGGAGTTATGTACATTTTCTGTTAACCTCATCTCTCACCCTGTTAGGTGCTGGAGGTGGTTCGCTCCAACTATGACACACTGACGCTCAAACTACAGGATGGTTTGGACCAGTTTGAGAGATACTCGGAGCAGCCCAAAGAAGCCGCCTTCTTCAAGGAGCTGGTAAGAGAGAGGGGGAAACGTGATGTGCGTGTTGAGGATTTAATGTGGTCTCCTAAGACTCTAAGTTTAGTTCTTTACCAAACTGACCTCACCATTCACGGCAGATTGTCACTCCACATGAACTCACCCAGGTCTCTGCACACCTAAAAGTGGTCATTTCCTGTTGCAACGTGACACTGATCACTACTGTTTACAATAAACAAGGTATTTTATTGTTTATAATAGCAGAAAGGAACTTTTTACGATGCTTCCTGTAATTTCTGCCTGTCAGACAGTTTTATAGTCCTCCGCAGCTATATAAATTGAACTGGGACTGGGATGGTGTGAAAGGCTCAGTGTGTAGGATTTAGTGGCATCTAGAGGTGTATTTGATGATTCCACCGCCCTCGCATCACTCGTTGCAAGCCAGCACTCGTCTAGAGCCAGTGTTTGGATTGTTCCTTCTGGGCTACTGTATACTATAATCATGGCTGTTCAACATGGAGGACTCTGTAGAAGAGGCCCCTCTCCCTCTGTAGATAAAACAGCTCATTCTAAGGTACCAAATACACAATGATTCTTATTTTCTGGTGATTACACACGAAAACATACCTATGAATATTATATTCAATTTCTGCCAATAGATCCTCCTTATTGTTACACACTGGACCTTTAAGCTTTATCCTTTCTGTGTTTATTAAAGCATATAAGCTGGTAATAAATCTCTGTCTGTCTGTCTGTCTGTCTGTCTCCAGGTGCGCTCCATCAGTCTGAATGTGAGGAAGAATGTCTCTCTGAACACACTGAGTCAGGACGTCCTGCTCAAAGAGTTTTCCACCATCTCCTGAGAAAGACACACACACACAGCCTCCTCCTCCCTTCAGATGGACGTACACAATACATTTTTGTATTTGTGTGTGTGGACATTACACACATTAACACATACTGTACAATACAAACACCAAACCAGTACAATCCGCCGTCGTTCTTTCCACGATTCGTTTTGAGTCCTCATCATCTGTCCCTCCTGTGAACTGAACGATGGAAACGTCTCCCACGCACACGCTGACAGGCTGGATGCACCTTAAGGAAAGACCTGACAACTCTCCAGACTTGCTCCTTTTGTGGTCGTTCACATGTTTGTGTGTAACTTTAAAGGAGGTGCCCGTGTTGCACTGGTTCCTCGTGTGAAATCTGCAGTATTGGCTGGACTGTTAACTGACAAATGAAAGTTTGGATTTAAGATAGTGTAACCAATTGTTTTTAACCCAGATGTTCTTCTCCAACTTTTCTGTCACTGATGATAAAGTCAGAAGCTTCTGCTGTTGAACTGATCACAGTTCACAGCTTATGATTTATCTCTCCAGTAATTATTTCAGAAGATTTACGCTTTGAGTGAAACATTATGTCCTCCCTAACAGCATTGGTAATGGTGACATTGAGCCTTTTTGAGTTTAAGTCCTCATAGATTAGAGCATTAACTCTTTTTTTTTGCAGCTGCTTGTTGTGTGAAAGTTAACTTGATGCTCTACATGTTCAAAACTTTACAAGTATTTTGTATATACATGTTTGCTATGGGATAGAACATTTTGAGCAGTAATGAAGTTGAGGATGCTCTGAAGTGATCATTTTTATTGTGCTTTTTGAACAAAGCCATGACTAACATTTCCTACTGTACGTCGCACAAATCATTTCCCCATTAGTTGAACAAATGAGTCCAAATGTGTTGAAGGGAGTGGTTAGTTTAGAAGTTCGGACAATGGTTAAACATTATTATAGTGATTATTACTGGTATTTCTTTGGTACTTGAGTTCAGTTAAGTGATTACAAAAAACTATTTATACATTCAACCTTTTAAACTCATCCTGGCTCTTTCTCATTCAGAATATTTGAAATGATTATTTTGGACTGGAAGCAGATCTGAATTATGCAATTTCTTCAAGTGTAGGGTCTTGTTTCTTTCATCTCGAACTCCTGTAGGTATATTTATGTTTCTTTTTTAAATAAAGGTTGGTTTCCTACTACTCAATTAGGGCTTCCTCTTTTGACTATTTAGTCAGAAATATGCACTATTATATCTGTGTTTTAACATCAACATAATTTTACATTCTTTGTACACAAGCTTTACAGCAACCATCTTCATCAGCTCAGCCAACACACACACACACACACACACACACGGCCGCTGTGATACATTGGGTGTCAGTGGGTAGACTTGATTTCTTATTCCGGCACACCGTAGAAGTGAAATATGACTTTTCATTCAATGAATATGGTCTTTGATAACAAATGCTTTTGTCTTGGATCATTTCTTTACTTGTTGTCCCCTGTCGAGAACATATGAACCGTAAAAAGTCAGGCAGCTTACACTCGATTGATTGTGTTTGGGTGAGTTTGCAGAGCGGATGACTGCACAATAAGCTCCAGTGATTTAAGTTTAATTCAAGTGTCAAACACAGCCTGCATACACAGTACATCAGTGATGGCATTAAAATGTTAGAAGGTAAACCTGTGTTTATCACCATAGTTCAAAAATATGTCAGCTTTAAAGCTGCCTTAAAAAGATACTTTATTTTGTCCCTTGCCTTCATAAAGATGTGTAAAAGTAAAGGCCAGATGATTGTTGGTAAAACTAACGAGGGAGAGATACTTGATTATGTGAGGATAGCAGTCACAGTAAATATGAGATTGTATGCACTGATACATAATGTGATTGTGTGTTTACACAAGATTTTTGAAAATGGGACACACATCTGTCTGTTTACACAATTGGTATGTATTTTGAGTAGTGGCAGCAGAAAGAAAAATAATCTGTATTCTGCAAGCTAAATTGACTCAATACATTCAATATTTACGTGAATATTTAAGTGAATGAACAGAAAGGGTCAAGTCATCGTTGCCGAAACCTGCGATGTCACTCTGAGAAAACAGAAACTATCCTGTTCCTCTCCTCTTTGTCCTCCCTTAGTCTTGCTGTTCCTCCACCCACCTCCAATGCCCCCTCCTGTTGTGAAACTAATTAGCCAATATCTCTGATAAACTTTGTCCTCGAGCTACTTCCTAATTATGTCTGCACCCTCAGGCTCACATAAACAACACCAGCTGAATCTTTTGTTTGTCAGAAGTTTCTCGATGTAATGAGCCGAGGTCAGATTGGATTTACAGGGGTCTGGACAGGTCAGTGATCAAAGTGCTGCAATAACAGTGGCGGATTCACATTTTCTCAGCAAATCTCTCCCGTATTTCTGGAAGCTAGTTTCGCTTTATGTAACAAAAAGCCAAGTTCATTCACACAGGTTTGGAGGAGTAGGAGATTTTTATTCGTTAAGAAAGTGGGTTTTAGTGTTGGATAAATGTGCATCGTCTGCATACTGGTAGTATATGGGGTGTATGAGAGGAACTGTGTTGCTACATATTTTGACAGCACTTCGATTTCAAGTTGTAAAAAGTCTACATGACATCATGAATGTTACCATTTCAGTTGATATCGTTCTTTAGTTGTTTGTTCCCAAACAAAACTGCAATCAACTCAACTTCCACAAACCATCTGACACACAAAAGGCCTTATGCAGCATCAATCCCTTAAATTTATTTTATTTTCTCTGAATTTAACCACCTTTTTTTAACCATCCAAATCTGCTCGTACCCAGGTTTCTGGCATTGGACAAGCAATGTATGGACTGTTAAGATGTTTTTTCCTTATCTTAAATGTTCCCATACCTAAGAGAAGAAACAAAAATAGGAAAACATTGGTAAATCCCAGAAATCAGTGGGTACTAACAAAAAAGAACAAATCATAGATACAAACTAACATAAGAGAACATTTGTTTATTGTTTCTTGCATGAGGCCCAATCAATATGAATATGCAATAAAAATGGTTTAAATGAATGTGTGCCATTGATCACTGTAAGAAGTGAAGGAGAGTTCCACCATTTGATCTGAAATTAATTAATGATAAGATGGAACAACCTTTGTGAAAATTGGGAACATTTATGCAGAGAATCAAAAGATCTAATTTATTTTTTTCTTTAAGTTGGTTGAAAGGGAAAAAGCCAATAGTTTTAGAAATCAAAATGAGAACTGTTGGACATCAAATGATTTAAAAATGCACACACAAATTATAAAGGAGCTGAGAGAGAAACTGATTTAAAAGACGTAGCCACTGCATCATATTAGAGCCTAAAATTAGACATCAATGGAGAACTTCATTTCAACAATTCATTTGAGCAGTAGTTAACATAGCAAGGACCCCTTGCCATTGATTATAAAACCAAGACATTTGAGAGAGGTAGAATCACCACTTGAGATGATAAAAAGAAATACAAATGTCCACCTAGGTGTGATGGTGACCTTATTCAGTCTGAATACAAAGACCTATCAGGTTACAGAGAGATGATGGATGTGTAAACAGACCACGTGGCGGAGTAATATGTTTCAGTAAGGTCCCGTTCAGTAACATGGAGAAAAACGTTACTGTTCAGCAATCGACCCTCAACTCCTTAAGCACCTGAAACCACCAACAATGAACCTTGAATTTTCAACAAAGCTTCTCCTCATGACTGCACTAACATGAGACCGACAATAAAAAACCTCACTCATTCATTTGTAGTTGATGGGTTACGACATGCAGAGCCACCTGTCAGCTCCTTTAATGCAGCAGCAGTGGGGCCATAAACATTCATGATAACAGCCCCACTCTTTCTCTTTGTCTTTGCTTTTGTATTTCTCTATCTCTCACAGACTTAATTAGAACTGTGGGGCCGAGTGCTGAAGAAAATTACATTGATAAGCCTCTAATGGACACGCAAGCATCATGTTGGCTCCAAGATCCATTTCCACAGATGATAATATGCTTTTGTATGTTCTGGGAATAATACTGTGGCACAGGGAGTGGACTCTGAGTGTGTGTATTGGCTTTTGCGTGTGTCTGACAGTGTCTTTATGGTTTCTGGAGATCACCTTGTGCAATGTCTTTTTAATATGGTGGCTCTCAATCCCCTGACATGAATCTAGTCCAAATCCTCTAATTTTGTTGGCTATATTGTATATTGGGCAGTATATTAACTCCCTGATATAATCTGAGCAGTGTGTGTGTGTGTGTGTGTGTGTGTGTGTGTGGGTGAGCTGTTGACAGTTTAGAAGCTCAGACAGAGCCAATCCGGTGCGTTTCACTGTGACAACCCATTACCGCCGCTGTGTATTTCTAATGTTTCATTTAAGCATATCAGCCTTCTCATCAAATATTCATTTGAGGGGAGATTGCCTACTTTGTCTCGCCTGAACCCCTCCCTCCCTCTGTCATCCGTTCACCCCCTTATTTCTTTATCTGTGTGTCCTCACCTGCATCTGTGTCTGCGGAAAATATGAAAAAAACTAAATCTACTCGAGCTACCTCGTTCCTAGGGTACATGAAAGCAGCAATACACCTCCTGAGGACATGTGGCCCTATTTCTATGCCTTTTGCTGAATATTATCTTCTGTTTAACAGCCTGTGCCAGCTCACCTGTTTGTGTTTATTCTACTGTATACTGTCAGTGTGTGTGTGTGTGTGTTATTTGTCACCTATATCATCACTCCACACAGTCAGAGCTCATTATTGGTTATCTGTCAGCTCCACTTTCAAGCCTGCAGCAATGCTAATCTTCTCTGTAAACCCCTGTGGGAGATAAACACCATCAATACTGCGAGATTTAACCGTCCCAAAGCACATAATGTATTCAAAAACCTCTCCACTGTGTTCCCTCTGTCTTCTACTTCTCTTCTGATTTTTCCCCTTCTCTCTCTGTCACAGCTTTGCCTCTGTTCCTGTTTCAGATGCACCACGATCCCTCTCTTTGATTCTTTTCACATCACCAGGCCTGTTTTTGTGTCCTCCCTTGCCTTTCCTTTCTCTTTGTCTTCCTCCAGCTGATAGATATTTTCTCTCCTCCCCATCAGTCTTCTGACGGTGGACATAATAATCCCTCACCCTCCTGCCTGTCCTTAAAAAAGCTTCACTGCATTGTTTATCCCCAACAAGCGTCATTTGGCTTTTCTTGGCAAAGGGAGTTCCTTTTATCTTTGTGATGGTGTGAAAGTTAACTTTAAAGGCAAACACATAAACTCTATGGATGGTAAATTGGTTCACTGCTTTGTTCCAGACTGAAATATCTCAGCAACTATCAAACTGATCGCCATGAAATGTTCTAGACTTTCTCCCCATAAGATGAATCCTACCACTGAACCACTGACTTTTCCTCTAGCTACACCATGAGGTTGACATTTTTGTTTTTTTTGTCAACAACTATCGAATGGATTGCCATGACATTTGGTGCAGACAT